AGAAAAGCTCCTTTCTTTCCCATACCCCAATTCCCACCCTACATGTAATAGGGCATGCTCTCCAGATTTCATGCTGGACACCCCAACAGCCAAGCTAGTCATTTCATTGTTCTCTGTTGCAGTAACAAAAATACACTACTAAGAAGAAGTCCATTCCATTGAATACCCCTAGATAATGCTTAAATGCTTATGGACCCAAATAATCTGGAATGACAAGTAATTACGAATTACAGAGAATAAAAGCAATAAAGAAATCACAAACTAATTGCAGGCTGAACAAGGAACATGCCCGGACTCGTTTGCATATACTTTGTATATATAAAAAGTAACAGACTAATCGGCAGGGCTAATACCTTTTCCTAAAATAATTTCAAGTGGTCGTTGTTCTTCCCATGTGTCCTCAAACTTGTGTCCCGTGCTCTCAGTCCATTCCCTGTAAGCTACTATCACACATATGCCAATCACTCAATGATTGAAAAAACCAGAGTAAAAATTCACTGCAAGACATTTCTACATGTATCTTAGGCATCCCTTTTATAAACTTTAATGCGTGCACATTTAATTCTCCTATATACATACACAACTTTGTGAACGTGGATGTTGTGTGTCTGTTTGCAAGCCACAAGCTCATTCATGTCTTACTCCCATCCCATACTAACAAACACATGCACACATGTACACAGCACAGCACTACCAAAAAGGAAACCACTTGACACTTACAGAAGCATGTTGAATACTTGGATGGTATTTGACCATGACCTTCCTTAATGATTTGATTTGTGACTGAAGTATTTCCACCTTAGAATCAACTTTAGGGGGGCCATTAGCATCTTGTGAAGGTTCCCCACGAACGAAGGTACCATCATCAGTTACTGTTTCATTTTCACCAACTTGACCTACAAACAAGATGAAAAGACGAGTAGTAGTCTATATTAATATATGATTGATAGAAGAATTGTTCTTGAAGAAAACATCTCCATGTATTCATTTAGTCCAACTAAATCACTCGAAACCCCGCTTATCAGGTTAATATGACATTTAATTGAAGCTGAAAACCTACTACGAGTCTAAGATTTGACATATATTTGCTTTTACAGAAACCGAGTGTAGCTGAAAGATTTGAGTAAGCGTAAAAAGTGTGACTTAATACTTGAACAGGAAATTAAAGCCAAAAATATGAATAAACATACCAAGCAGTTGACTTTCCTGCTCTGCCTGCTCCCGAACATCCTCCATTACTTCAAGCTTCTGTAATCCAATGGATCTTCTCAAAATTCTACAAATACCCAAATCAAAGACGCAAAGTTTAATGCAATAGCTTTCGAATTCCAAAACAAGAAGGGTTTCGTTTTCTTTGGAATTTTCTCGGGAAACAAACAAAAAACGGAAAGTAGAAAAGGAAAGGGGTGTGCGAGTGTTGGAAATGTGCCCTAAAACCAATCATATGATGATACTTTACGGACATTTCAAACTAATGTAGTTCATTTCAAACTAATGTAGTTTAAATGTAAAGGGCAAAGATTATTGTTTGAGCCGTCTAATATAAATGTTATATGCTTAAACGATAAGTCCAAGGAATATGTGATTGGAAGAATGCGATCTAAAGAAGTTAGATTCATGAGACCATTCTTTCGTTGACACATCCTAAACGTTCCTGATCATAGGATTGTCAATTGGGCATTGACAGTCCGTTAAGATCAGTACGTGCTATGTCTTCTCTCAGGGAGAGTGACTAGTCTCGAGTCATTGGTGTGTGTGACATCAAGACAAGTACGTAGGTGCTCAATAGAGAATGAGTTCACTGAACACGATCAACGAAGAGTTCTCATATTCATGTCACATGAGAACTCATGGTTGGGATAATGCAAATTAGTCTTTTGACCTGAGGCATCACAGTTGTCTTGTGGTTAGGTCCTTAATCTTTGATTATGTCAAAGTCACTCTATCAGGGTGTCCACGGCATCGTTGGGGTTAAGCCACTTAGCCATGGAGGCAAGTGAATGCGCAACAAGGGATCTCTAACCTTCAAACTGTTTGAGGGAGAATACTCTATGATATGATTTAGAATCTCTGGCCAGAGTATGAATGAGATGTTGGAATGCGTTCCAGATCACATTCAAGGTAATCATATAAGTACAAGATTCACATTGGATAGTAGACATGAATAAACTATCAAACCAAACAATGTGGTCAAGAGTATTGTATTAGAGAAAGACCGTATTGCATTTGTAATCCTAAACTGAATAGGTTCTCCACCTCTTCTGATTAGCTTGGGTAACCATGATATGCTGCTAGGTGTCACTCATGGTTTGTGGAAGCCCTAAAAGTGTATTATCACTAACGGGAGAATTGAAAGTAAGTTTCAATTCACAATCGATTTGAAAGAGTTTGAATCGCCCACTGCCTCGCTAAAAGGAACCTAATGGATCGTACACCGTGTAAGGTAAAGATTGAAGATTCAACGGAGATGAGTAAGAATAATTAAATGGTTTAATTATTTATGGCAAGGATTAATTAATATGATTATTAATCAAACGAATAAGTTCGTTAAAAGACCTCGGGTTAGTTTTGGGCCGCAAGGTCCAATGGAATTTGAATGTCAAGCCCATTAACTCAAGTTGTATGACAACTTGAATAAAACAAAGGGCTTGAAAGCCCAATAAACCTATAGGCTAGCCATGTGTAAAAGAATATGGCTTTTGGTCCATTAGGTCACTTATTTGAAGGGACTATATAAAGGACTTTATAGCCTAAAATTTACTAAGGGTTATTTTTGGGGAAAGGATGAGAACACAAGCTCTCCTTTCTCTCAAAAATTTTGGCCAATCTAGAGGGGAATAGCTAGCAATCTTACTTCCTCTAGGTCACTCATTTCTTCTACAATATACCTTGGTGTGGAGACTTAGAGGTTCTCAATTTTGGGAACTTGGAGAAACCTTTTCATCCATCCAAATCCATGGATCCAAGATGCAAGGAATGAAGGCCCTCTCTTTGGGTGATTAGCCTTTGCTTATGCAAAGAGGAATCTACAAAGGTATTGATTTCTCAACTCACTTTGTTTTGAGTTGAGTCTTGGTTCACCTATCTACTAGGCTTTGAATTTCATGGGTAAATGTTTTGTTTTAAGTGCATACAAGCATGATTCCGCCTTTAATTGTTAATTGCATGCTATTGATGTTGCTTAAATGAACATGTTTTTCACAAATTTTCCTTCAGCGAGGACACCCTTTTTACTTCTCACACGCTCTTTGTTGATTTATGTCATTTGATCTTGTTCAAGTCATCGGATTTGATGATCGAAAATTAAAAATGTATGTAAGAAGTAAAAATAGATGTATGAATATCACACCCTAAGGGAAAAAGCGAGACTTACTTGTGTGATGAGATACAGACGAGAGGAGAGTAATAGAAAGACAAAATAAGAGAATGTGAACATCTTATTTTAATTTTTAATAGCAATAAAAAGACAAAATAAGAGAATGTGAGGGAAAGGGATGGAAGGGGATGTGAATAGGAAGGGAGAGAATCATAGTCTAATAGAATCTGTATTGTGTTTTGTTTCCAACAACCGAAGAAGATTGTATAGAGAAACAAATTAATTAATTCATTAAGGTAGTGCTATCACACATCCATTTTTATCTCTCACACACGTCTTAGTTTTCAACCATCAGATTAAATGAATCAAAATATCAATAGCCAAAAATTAATAAGAGTATGTGAGAGGTAAAAATATGTGTGTGAATATCACTTTCTTTAATTAATTATTCTTTCGAGTTTAAATCTCCTGTGCACAGCCATTTAGTATTAGAGTCTAGTGATATTACTCTTCACTTCTAAGTGAAAGATCTTAGGTTATTAGGCTAAGCTTATTTCCCCACTTTTGTGCCCTTTAGTGTAGATAATATTATTTATTCAACAAAATCTGTTGTGCCCAAATAGCCTTTGCCTATCCCCCTCCTTTATTTGATATTCATGACGACAATCTATTTATTTGATACATTTAGACATGAATGAAGGTAGCTACCCCTACTCAACCCTTTTTATCATGAAAAATGCTCCAACTAAAACTATAAATTATCTGTATATTCAGAAATAAAGTCTTAGTCAAAATACACTTTCACATTCTATACTGTTTTTACCCTCACCCTTTTGAGCATGTCATTTTTCCATTAGCTAATAAGTTACAATTTTAATGTTCTAAGATCATTATCCAAAATTATGTTGTTGGACAATAAGTTGCCCCACTAGAATAGTATTTGATGTGTTATAAAGTAAGGAATCTTATCTAGACTAATTTGAGTGTTAAGTCAAGTATTGTTAATTGTGATGTATAGAAGATCTCTCCGTATCTTATGTAAGGGATAAAAAGGATGATGCCTCTTGTATCCAAATAGTTTGAGGTGAGGTTCGGGAGGGTTCCTCCTAAGCCTATAAATATGTGTGTATTCTATGTAAGTAGGCGGACTTGAATGGAAATCGGTTCTTTGTATTAACTTCTCTTCTTGAGCAAATATCTTTGTTTGAGTCATCCTTTGTAAAGATCCTGATTAGAGTAAACCCTTTAGTTTTGGTGGTATCATGTAGGTGGCTCAAACATGGTTGTCCTCAAAGCTTGTGTATTCCTTCTTACAAAAATTCTTAGTATGCTCTGCAGTTACAATGAAAGCCTGATCTTTTGCATCAAAACTGAATCTCAGTAAAATTCTTTCCTCTTTTACACAAAATTAAGTAATTTTTATACACAAATTAACATGCTTTCACTTCACATTGAAGGTATGAAAATGAAATTTACCTATTTCACATCTTTATACTTTACATGAAAATTATCTCCCGCACGTTTTCTTTTTCACTAGTGAACGGTTGGGAAGAAAAAAATGTGTGGGTGAGCAAAACTCTTACATACTACAAAGTTGTTGCAGATACAATTGCCGCTCGCTCCAATGTTGTTAACACTGAATTTCTTACATACTACAAAGGCTATCGAACTTTCTCTACACGGATCAACAACCTGCAGCCTTTAAAAAGTTATCGTAGGGGCCTGATGCCGGTAGCTGAAAGTGTGGATAGGGATGATACTCAATTGCGCAAATCATCGAAGAGCCATTGCCAACAGATTGGTTGAGTGAAATAGCACTTGATTCAAGGAATGGATTTCCACTCTGCGGTCCCAGATGGTTTTCGGAAACTCAAAATACGCTAAAAACACAGTATGCATGCAATGCAAAATAAAAGGAGTGTATGCTAAAGAAAATACCGTAGGAGTGCCCAGCGGAACAACAGATAGAGTTTCCTTTTCCTGGTTGCAATCATTAGAAAATCTAATCAAACTTTCTTGTCTCTGCTGGGAAACTATAAACGTCGACAACTTCTGCTGCTTCCCCATTTGAATGGCCTCACACTGGCCAGCCATTTCCATGTAAGGCATATTTGTAGCAGCTGAGACTGATAATCTTCCAACTTGATGTGTTGTCTCCAAAACCTGCACACGAATCGCTCTCTTACTTAGCACAATGTTCAACTTGACGTAATGTCCATTGATTTACGTATTTTCTGTCTGGTTTCTACAAAGGCCACAAACCAGCAACAGTGTGTGAGCGGCCTCACTTACCGAGTCTAAAAGCTGATCAACGCTTATTATGCTTAAACTTTCCACTGCAATTTTTGTGCCAGGGTGGGTTTGATTTTTCTATAGCAGAAGGTGACCTTAAAGCATCCTCATCCTCAGATTTTTCTATTGCACAACTTGACCAGTACGGTAAACAGTAGAAATCAAAGTTCTATAGCACAACTTAACCGTAATGTTAGAGATGTTTTCTAACATCACGGCCATCACGTCAAGAACACGACCATCTCCTACCTGCACGATATAAGAGCAATCAAACCTACCCTGTGAGACTACTTGTTCCATCTTTAAAGAAATTTACAGGATGTTACCATCACCTTATGTGTCAATTTATTTACAAGTTTGCCATTCGTTTAAAAACGAATATATCTGTCCAGCGGTGCTTTTCTGCGTCGGTGGATGCTCCGCTTCGACTACTCATTGCCTTCTGCTTCTTCACCGCTTCTTCCCCTCTCCCTCCTCGTCTCGTCTGCTAAACGACGACCTTTTCGACGACATTCTCTCGCACCTACCCGGCTTATCCTTCGCATCAGCGGCGTGCGTTAGCAAATCTTGGAACCAAATCTGCAGCCGAATCCTCGCTAGCCCGAAGCTCGCCTCTGCTCTCTCTCTCCACCCCTCGCCTAAGGTTTGGTTTAGAGTCTAGACCTCTGTTCGGTTTCCGAGAAAATCACAAGCTCAAATTTTCTCGCACATTTTCTCAAGTTTTGTGTTGGAATTGATAGGTTGCGGTGAAGGAGGTTATCGAGAAGGTTCTGGCTGGACGGATACGGCCTCATTTCGTTGTGGCTGATATTGGAAGTGGATTTGGATTGTATGGCATTTCCAAGTTTGTATGTGATCTTGCTCATATAAACCCCTTAATCTTAATTAGTATATCTGAGCACGGTGAGATTTCTGTATGATTTTTTTTTTTTTTTTTTGGGTTTGTGGGTTTTAGAGATTTTTCTGTGAAAGCATTGACTTTTATATGATTTTTTATTGTGGGTTTTGATTGTTTGGTTATTTATTTGGGTATTTGAGCTGCTGGATGCTCGAAGTGAGAACCTTTTCGCCCATTCCTATAAGCCAGTCCGGCCTAGCCATAATCCAGTCAGGATCTTTTCAACAGCATCCTCTGGCAATTCAAATAAAATCCCCTCACCCATTATATTTGAGAATCTTTTTCTGATGGAGTTTGTGATGTTTTGCCGAATAGGGTTGAAATCCATTGGCTTGAACACAATGGCATCATCAATAGTATCCAGTAATTCCCGGGGATCAAAGTCTAATGGCAATAGGTACATTGATTATCAAACCCTAATTGTGGTGGGTTTGTTTTGTTTTGTTTTTGTTTTAATTTTTTTAAATTGTGTCTCCTATTTGCTGTATATTGGCTGATGGGTTTCAGTGTATTTTTGTTTTGTTGACTGGATTTCGCCATGTCAGATTGGTTTTGTTTGCTGCGATTGGTGAGGCTTATGTTATTGTTGATGGGTTTGGTTAACAGGGTTTTCATTCCTTTTCAGATTTGTTTCAACACACTTCTCGAAATTTGCAGGATGCTATGGTGATATTTTCTATTATCTAATCAAATGGACGATTTAATTTCAGTAGTTTGAGGGCTCCGACCGCAACACACAGCAGCAGCGATGGGATAGGAGAAGTGGCACCAAGTGATGCAGAACCTTTTCCGTGATCAATCTGAAGAAGAAGAGGGAGAGGTTGATTCCGAGCACAAGTCTAATCCCCAGCTCGATTCTGTATGATCCTCTAATTTATAGTTTCCTTTCTATTCTTATTCCAAAAGTATGTTTGGAAATGATTAGGATTTCAATTTTTGCTTTAATCTTAAGCTGAAGGAAGATATAGGTTGTGGTTTTGTTAATGGCAGTGGATGATTTGATGAAAGTATGTATCTTGGGGATTTTTTTTGCTTGCAGTTGTATAGGCCTGGACTGAAGAAATTTTGTGGAATGAGATTCTCATGAGTAGTCAATTTTAGCGGGATTGTTCTTTCAATCTGGATAACGAATGATGTCGTTTTCCTATTTGGTCTGTACTTTGATGTTGTAGCAGATCTGGAATTTTGTGAAATGTTCTTTATTGAGAATGAAGTGCCACAAATTGAAAACGAATAAAAAAAAATTGCATGTCTTCTGATTAGAAATATAGAATTGATTTTAAATTATTTTCTTGACTGTTTGGTTCGGATATGCTTTACGGATAAGTCAAGGGTTTACAAGATATTTTTTGTTGTTTTCTCTGTGTTAACTCTGCTTTTACTCCTTTAAACGGTGGGTGTTATCATTTTCTCTCTTTTTTCATATCTGTCTTGCCATTGACTGGGGATGTAGGTGATCCTGCTACTGCACGCTCTACTATCAGCGGAGAACTCTACAGGGTTGATCAAAGAGGGGTCTATAATCTTACTAAAGCATTTCAGGTGTGATCCTTATTGCCATATCCTTGAAATACTCTTTTTTGACATTTAGTTCGGTTTTGATGTCGTCTAAGTTCATGGGTTGGTTCAGTGTTGGATTTGAATTTTACCCTTTGAGAGTTGCTTACATGAAGCTTTTGACTGTTCTAAGTTCATAAATGATATTCATGGTATCCTTCTTGTTATTAATTACTTAGAATTTGAACACAAAATGAATTCATTTGAGAACAGATAGTATTTTTATGTTTTCCCGCTTTGTTTTAGAGATAATCAACTGTTCTTAAGCTGTTTTCATAGTGATTAGAACTTCCTTTAGAACTAATGAATCAAGCAATCGCAAGATAAGCTAATCGAAACAGCACAAATATGAAGGAAAACGGGTTCTGCTTTCTTAAGGTATCAATATTTTCAATTTTCCTTTGACTGGTCTGTTGATAAGTTTGTTTTTGTAGATACAGAGAACTACGTGGAAGATCTCTGTGTGAATATCAAGGTCCGTACTTTTCCCTTTTTAGTTCTTGGCAATACAAGCATCTTCAGGTTTTTGAAGAAAACTTGAGAAATCAATAGATTTTGATTTCCGCTTAAGAAAACTTAAGAGACCGGTTCAATTGGGTGACGAAAAAAGGGAAGAAAAGAAAAATATTTGTAAACACACTGTACGTTTGAAGAATTTGTTTTTACTTATTGAGATCATTTGATTGCTAAGGAAATCGAGGAAAAGAAAACACAAAAACTAATTAAGAGTTGTTTATAAGAGAGAGGACTTAGAAAAAACAACTAATATTTTTGTTTATGTAATGGCTGTCATGAATATCCTTTTGACTAAACAAAACATAATCAGTTTATTTGCTTTACTGAGAATGTAGCGTTTATTGTGATTAATTTTGGGTTTTGGAGCATATATTTGTGTCCTGAGCCGTATCTAGAGTACATTTTGGAGTTCCTACGGTGTTAGAATATTCTGTTACTCCAATGCATTGACAATTAACAGACGTAATTCTTTTTACCATTGTTTGTGTATAATTATGCAACTTATATGTTATAACGTGACAGATTGTTTTGCTTCCAATGCATCAACATATATTAAAAAGAAATATTCAAAGAGGGCTGGAACTCAGTCGAAGCTGGGGGGCTAGGCCCTCACGCCCATGTTATATTACTCGAATGAAAAATATACAATGGAGGAGACAATCTACATCAGGCCACATAAGAATTGGCATTTTTGTTGGAAAATAATAATGTTTTTTTTTTGCTGCTGTTTTTGCTGATACGAAATTTTTGACTCCTTTGAAAATGATCATTTCTTCTATCTACTACCAACATCCAGCAATGGCACACTCGCTCACATTATTGCTTTCAAGCCTCGTATTGGCTAGACCAATACGAATTAGGTCTGAAAAATATTCTGACCAACCAGACAGTAAGAATATTCTGACAAACATTCAGGACAAACAGTTTATTGGATTGCCTAGACCAACCAGACAGTAAGAATATTCTGACGAAGTAGGTCGTAGTTAATTATGAAGGGCATTTATAATTCCTCCTATTAGTTCTATCTAACAATTTTTAATCTATTTCTTAATAACTTGACCTCAATTCCTTGAGACTTAGATATCCTTCTTACCCAAACGTTTCAATTTCTCAATTGCTCAAGGGCAACCTTTGCATATACCAGATGGAAGCTCTCAACGACTAGTTTTGTCGCATTTTCATTTTCCGACGAAGAAGTGTATTGAATATGGCATTAAAATTTAAGGATTAAAATATCTGGAGCGCCGAGTACTACGGAGCACCCCTTGGCATTACATGTGTAAGAGGCGACCTTGATTTGCTTAATCAAAGACAAGAGGGCTAAAAAAAATATTCTACCATCAAAAGAAGACAAACACCTAAGAATATATTAACAGAAGTTACAAGGACAGACTGACTTTAAAAACAAAGGCCATGTTACATAGAAGTCAGAAAGCAAATCTGGAAGCTCATCACCCATGGCAGAAGCGGCAAAGAGGTAAGTACCTACTACTTCCCTCATGTTTTTGAAGCTTCACACATCAGACCTTTTGGCCACACCAACAGTAATGAAATTTCTTGTACACAAGTGTTGTATACAACCCTACTCTCACGTTTGTGAAATGTTGTATACAACGGTTTATTTATGAGAATTTCTCCAAGGTGTTAAAAGTTTAAGCATGAGAGTGTATGAATCGAAGAAGGAAGAAAGAAAAATCACAGAAATAGAGATAGTGATGGATGCTTCTCTTTCTCTCTGCAAAATCACAGAGGAATGTTTTCTTTTATTCTCACACTAGCACACACAATCGTGCACTGCATAACGGTTAGTTATGCTAATGGAATCTCACCATTACATCAAAAGATCTCAGCCGCACATCTAGCTAGATTCAAGGTGATTCATCCACATGTCACTTAGACAAAATTACAATATGAGCCCTACACTTGGTAATTTTAACCAGAGTGAATACACAACTAAATACAAGGCTTATTTCTACTAACTTAAAATCAGCTCATGGCTTATACACTAACATTCCCCTTGAAGCTTTGAGCTGATATGACTGCAAGCTTATCTCTGAGATAGTTGAACCTCTCCTTTGGCAGAGCTTTAATAAAAATGTCTACCACTTGTTCTTTGGTAGGACAGTAGACCAAATCAACAATTCCTTGCCGCAAAGCATCCTTGCTGAAGTGATACCTTCTATCAATATGCTTTGTCTTTTGATGAAATACTGGATTCTTGGTTATAGAGATTGCAGTTGTATTGTCACACTGAAAAGGAGTTGCTTCAGTTTGCAACTCTCCAAAATCCTCCAGAACAAATCTAAGCCATATAGCCTGAGTTGTGGCTTCTGATGCACTGATGGACTCTACCTCTGCAGTTGAAAGTGCAACACAAGTTTGCTTAACAAATGCCCATGAGAAGAATCCACTCCCAAAGGAAAATGCATAGCCTGATCTTCTTTTGCTATCATCAATTGAACCTCTCCAATCACTGCCTCAGTATCCAATCAGTATTGCATTCTTCCCCTTTTCATAATTCAGTCCATAATCTAGTGTTCCTTTGACATACCTAAGCACTCTCTTGGCAGTCCCATGGTACTTATTTGTAGGGCAATGCATATATCCAGCAAGTAAGCTAGCTGCATACATCACATATGGCGTAGTAGCATTAAGATATAACAGACTGCCCACAATCTTCCTATATTGCTCTTCACTTGCTGGGCCGCTTCCATCTTCTTTGCTCAATTTGTCAATAGCAACAAGAGGAGTACAGCCAGATTTGCATTCACTTAAGCCAAACTTATTCAATAATTGATGGATGCTTGTTGGATACTGTGACACATGTATCTTAATTGATTTTTAGTGAAATGAGTCTTTGATTTTGTCAGGTATGCGGTTGTCACAGGCTCGAATCAGGGGATTGGATTCGGAACAGTTAAGAAGTTGGCAGCAAATGGGATCATGGTGGTGTTAACTGCTTTAGATGAGAAAATGGGTCTTGAAGCTATTGAAATTTTGAAAGAGTGTGGCCTCTCCGACCTTGTGGTTTTTCATCAGCTTGATGTAACGGATCCTGCTAGTGTTGCTTCCCTAGCAAATTTTGTCAAAACCCAATTCGGGAAACTAGATATCTTGGTATGATTCGAAACCATTTTTATAATCAAACTTCCTGTTCTGAATGAATACTTTCTTTTTTGCCACTTTTTCGTTGTGAATTTTAAAGTTTTTAACGAACGGACCTTATTCGCCAACTCTATATGATACTAATATTTCAAGCATATTATGTGTACCCTATTGAAAATTTTCACTTATCCACTGTGTTGTAAATTTTAACTGAGTCACTTCGTAATTCAGCTTAAAATAAGACAGAAAATCGGTAAGTACGATGAAGGGTCTTAATATTTTGTTGGGATTGAACAAAGATGAAATGTTTCGGAACTTCCACAGGTAAACAATGCAGGGGTTAGAGGAACCATTGTAGACCCTGAAGCTTTCAGAGCTGCTGTAGCTTCTGGTGTTGGTAGGGTAAGTCTCTTTATTCACTATTTAAAATCCAACTTATCTTGAGTTTTCAAAATTTGGCTTTCAGTTTTCAGTTTTTGGTTTTACATTTTTATTTTCTGAAAACTGAAAACTGAAAACTGAAATGGTTATAAGATGGGTCCTTACATTGTCAAATTTGTAGGTTGAGTAGTGCTATCCACACACCCATTTTTACTTCTCACGCACTCCTTCCAATTTTTTGTCGTCGGATCGAATGAATTGAAAAAGATCAGTGACCAAAAATTAACAAGGGCGTGTGAGAGTTAAAAATGGGTGCGTGAAGAGAACTTTCCTTATAGGTATGGCTAAGTGCCATAAATCTTTCATTCAAAAATGCACAATGGCAAAATTAAATCTTTCTTTTCCTTGATGCAGGATGGTGTAGGAGTCAATTGGAGTGAAATAATGACTCAAACGTACGAGTTAGCTGAAGTTTGCGTGAGAACAAACTACTATGGTTCCAAGAAAATGACCAAAGCACTGCTTCCCCTCCTCCAGCTATCTGATTCACCAACAGTTGTCAGTCTTTCTTCTGGCATGGGATCGTTAAAGGTGCGAAGATTTTTCATACTTTTGGCATCTCATCGTATTTCTGTTTCAAGATCAAATGTCTTCCATAATTGGGAAAACTGAAATTCTGTTGGCATGCATGTTTTGTTTCAGCATATCCCAAATGGATGGGCTAAAGGGTTGTTAAGTGATGCCGAAAAACTCACAGAAGACAGAATAGACGAGGTTTTGAGTGAGTTTCTAAAAGACTTCAAAGAAGATATGCTAGAAACCAGAGGGTGGCCTGCTTCCCTCTCGGCCTATATACTCTCAAAAGCAGCCATAAACGCTTTCACGCGGATCATGGCCAAGCAGTACCCGAATATCTGCATCAACTCTGTAAGCCCTGGATTTGTCAAAACAGATTTGAACTTCAATACCGGAATATTAACAATAGACGAAGGTGCTGAAAGTGTTGTGAGGCTAGCAATGGTGACAAATGGCAGCCCTTCTGGCCATTACTTCTATGAACAAGAAGTCTCACCCTTTTGAGGATAAAAGAATCTTTCAATTTCATGGACTAAATATCCTTTTTTTCTGTATGCAATGATGAGATAATAATCTTTGAATTTTCTGTATGCAATGGCGGTACTTGTATAACCCCATTGTTGAAGGTAAAGATACCAAGTGAATACCTCTCCTTGTCTCTGTTATGCTTCACTCAATGATGCCAAGCTTTTATTCTGTCATTGCTTCATACCTAAATCCAAAATAAAAAGACTAGTTTTGGTAATGTATAAATTTTATATTGGCACATCAAGTTAGACTTTAGCGAGCCAAGTTGGCTAGACTAGGCGTGCATCCCTCCCTCTCTACAAGTTAGTTCGAATTCTCTTCTTTGTTATTTATATTAAATTACAATGTCGCTCAAATATATTTGGACATCAAATTATATGAGAATACATGTGTATAATAAGTTCACTATCTATCTTTATTATTATTATTTTTTATGATCGATGAAAGCTTCATTGGTCATAAATAAGAATTTTCATCCACAGAAGCAATATCTGTTATGTAGAAACACTATCTACCTTTATTAAATGTATTGTCATATTTCTAGTTCTCTGTTGTGAGTTTGAGTGAGTCTAAATCAGAAAATCCTTAAAATTAAACTCACACACCAAAGGATAGGTTTATCATCATCATCGTCTCTCTCCTTTCTATCCAGATCTTCCGAACCAAATATAATGAATAAAGAAAAAATTAACTTTAGGCGTGATTTTCGGTTATAAAATTTCAATTTGAACTAAGAAGAAATATTATTTTTCTTGTTCCTTTTGTTGGCAATGTATGGGATGTGAGCAATCTTAGGCCAGTCCTCACCTGTTTCTTTCTTGCACCTTTCGCTTAACATGGGGAACCTATATATTTCCAATCTATTTAAACAGGGGAGTCCACGAGTCCCTTCTGGCAGTGAAGTTAGATTAGGACACTCCAGGATAGTCAAGATAGAAAGACGGAGAAAAGAAGGCAACGGCATATTTTCCATTGACGAAGAAGAAGAAGCAGTGGTATGAGTGTGCGCCCTCCACCATCCCTTCAGAACAGGGCAATCTGCTATATAGAGGTCCTCCAGGGAGGGGAAGAATGAGATCCTCATCATCTCATCACTCATACTATTACTGCTCTCATTCTCTGATATGTACTCCAACTTCTCCAACCCTTCAAGTTTAAGTTTCTTAAGGGAAGGCAAATGATCCAAGGGTGGAAGATGTTGGCATCTCTTACAATCCCACATTGTGAGATTAACAATATTTATGAGAGAAGAAAACCAACTCGCAAATCTCACACCACTATAGAAACACACTGTCAACTGCTTTAGATTTTAATAGGGTTGCAATACTTCCATTGACTTTATAATATCATTGGAAACCCTAAATTATATGTCTAGATAAAGTAAAACGTTTTTAATTAAATGTCATAGTATCAATTAATCCTTGGAAACCCTAAATTAATTAAAAACTAATTAAAACGTTTTTAATTAATAAATTAATTAAAAACTTAATCCGAAAATTAAAATTAATGAATCTGATTAATTTTAAATTCCAAGGCCCCAAGGTCCAAGGCCCTTGTCTTGATTAATTAATATTAATTGTATTTAGGCTATATTATATTCAAGCCTAATTCACACAACCATAAGGTTCAAGCCTTCAATTCATTTCCAAATAGTCCAAGTTCTAATTACTAAGGAGAAGGAATAAGCCTATATAAAGGCTAGTGAAAAAATACTGTTTTCCAATGTAGGACAAGAGGGTCTCAAAACTCCTACACCCAATCCTTATTGTCCAACTTAAACCTAACGCGTTCAAAATCTCATGTGCTAACAGATTTCCCCATGCAGTATGTCAAAAAGCGATATATGAACAGAAATTGTTGTGTGTTGTACATATCCAAAAAATTGCGGAGCACTAAAAACTGCTAGAATCAGTTGGGTATTGGTGGATTGAATGAATCCGAAAGACTTACGGATGCCACTGTCCTGTAAATCCTTGGAAGAAAGTAAAAGTCCACTTTGTTGTTCATGGTGAGCAAGCTCCATTGGCTCCACTGTTGCAAGAAATATCTGTTTTGAGCTCAAAACCTGCTGAACAACAAAAGTATTACCCAAAGAAAAATGCAATTGTAGCCAATCCAACTGCTGGAAGTATTCCAGGTGCCACTTGAGTGATTTCCCACTTCGGTGCTTTCTCAATCATCCTTACAAAAGTATCCACATAACACAAACTTGCTCATCCAAAAGTGCCAGTCAACAAGAAGGTTTGAACATTTTGAGTCAGGAAAGAATTATTGAGGAACCCCCAATCAGGAAAATGAAGTGATATAAGGCAGAGTAAACCTTCTTGTCCACAATACAAACAAACTCGAATGCGTAAGTAAACACATCCCTGGTGCAACATTCCTCAATTTTCAACAAGCAGAAAGTCAGGAACCGATTTAGGAATCTCCATTCAATGGTGCGGATCAAGTAAATGGTTAGGCCTATATTTCTGGCCAATTTCTCTCTGCTGCATTTTGTCAAACACATCTTGGGGCAAATATGTTTCTTCTACTCCCAGAGGAATTAAACACAATCATTTCCAAGGGCACATGAAGCCCTAATCCTTAAGATATCCTAATTTGACCTTAACTAGGATATCCTTCCCACGTGTCATAGACCAAAAAAATCATAGTCTCACATCACTCTCGAGACTTAAATGAGTGAACCTTCGGGCCATCTCTAATGGAAATGGTTATAAGGTTAGAGGTCAAGGTTTTAGCCTGAAATGCCACAAAACTCAACTCCAATGGAGAGTTGGGCCTAAAAAAATTGGGACCCACCAGACCTAATGATAGCCAAAAGACTATTGGGCTAGGTATGTTGGGCCTGTCGAGCAACCCAATTTTGGAACCCAGCATCAACGCCTCTCTGGGTTTTTTGACAGCTAAGTGGACGCATGCACCTCAAAAACCCACGAGGAAAATCATGTTTTTCTGTTTAGACAAAAACATGGCCTGATTTGGCCATATTTTACTTAATCTGAATACATGATTTGGAAAACATGCTTATTGTGGGTATTTTAATTGAAAAAGATTTGAAACCCTTAGAAATACATTATGTTTGCAGATTGTAAATCAGGACTCATTTTTAAAAACATTAATTTTTACTATCTTGACTCATTTCAATTCAATTTCTCACATTCTATCCATCTAAAAAATTATGTCCTGATAACTTTATTTTCACATAGTAAATAAATTTAAGGAGTAAAATTAAAACCAATAAATTAGTAATGAGCTATATTTAATCATTTCAATTGAAGATGGTATATGAATATGATATAATTCTGATCATTAAAAAAATAATTTCTTTATAATTCTAGACGGAACTATACGTAACCTTTTTAATTAGAGATAACATTAGGCTCACAATTCATTGTCTTGTCTTTTATTTTTTTTTATTTTTTTTTTTTGAAAAACATTCATAGTGTTGTTTGTTAGCAAGTTCAAAACATGAATTTCCTCATTTATCATACAATTCAAGAGCTTAAGATGTTTCGACCAAAAAAAAAAAAAAGAAAAGAAAAAAAAGCCTTAAGACGTAACTCTCTTGCAATAGCACTGTCTTGAGGTGCAAATTTGATCGCTTTTAGAAAGTCTTCCCGCGCAGCATCTGTCTAGGCCCCTGTTTGGTTTCGGAGAAAATCACAAGCTCAAATTTACTCGCACATTTTCTCAATTTTTGTGTTGGAATTGATAGGTTGCGGTGAAGGAGGTTATCGAGAAGGTTCTGGCTGGGCTGATACGGTCTCATTTCGTTATGGCTAATATTGGAAGTGGGTTTGGATTGTATGACATCTCCAAGTTTGTTTGTGTTCTTGCTCATATAAACCCCTTAATCTTAATTATTATATCTGATCACGGTGAGTTTTTTGTATGATTTTTTTTTTTTTTGGGGGTTTGTGGGTTTTAGAGATTTTTCGGTGAATGCATTGATTTTTGTATGATTTTTGATAGTGGGTTTTGATGCAGAACCTATTCGGTGATCAATCTGAAGAGGAAGAGGAAGAGGGCGATTCCGAGCACGAGCCCAATCCACAGCCCAATTCTGTATGATCCTCTAATTTCAAGTTTCCTTTTTATTCTGATTCCAAAAGCATGTTTGTGAATGATTAGGGTTTCAATTTTTGCTTTAATCTTAGCCAAAGCAACATATAGGTTGTGGTATTGTCATTGCGGTGGATGATTTGGATGAAAGTATGTAACTTGGGAGTTTTTTGCTTGCAGTTGTTTAGGCCTTGTGAGATACTTATGAGTTGTCAATTTTAGTGGGATTGTTGTTTCAATCTGGATAATGAATGATGTCGTTTCCTATTCGGTCCGTCCTTTGATGTTGTAGCAGATTTGGAATTTTGTGAACTGTTCTTTATTAAGAATGAAGTGCCACAAATTGAAGGCGAATAAAAAAAATTGCACATCTTCTGATTAGAAATATGGAATTGGTTATTTTCTTGACTGTTTGGTTCTGATGTGCCAGGCCTGCGGGAGCGGCGAGAGAACTTTCCAACATTGGAAAACTGGTGGGTGCATTCCAGCAAGTCGTATTCCTCTTTTCTCTTTTGATCCACTTGCCCGGGAGGGAGTATTTCGGTTACGGCTACGAAGTTTGCCCATTCGACCGCAAGAAGAGGGAGAAGAAGCTTCGTAGTGGCATTCCTCCGACGAGCTACCGAACTCCTAACCGAATAATAAAGCCGATCTCGAGAAGGCTAGGCTTTCTTATTATTAATTACAAGATTTGGGTAATAAAATTCATGGTATCCTTCGTGTTATTAATTACTTGGAATTTGAACACAAAATGAATTCATTTGATAGAAAATCATTGGCAACAGAAATTACCTGATGAATTTGCCATGCAGCTACAACATTCTAGCAACATTTCATGAATTTGAGAAGCAAGCTGTGCAAGTTCAGTTGCATTCTGTTTACTTAATTTTCTGTGTTTTTTCTTTTGCAGTTTGGATTTAGGAGCTAAAACAATTTTCTTTTGCAATATTTGTAGGTGGATGATGCTATCTGGGCTGTTGAAAGTGCCACATTGAAAGCTGAGATGAGTGGAAAGAAGCTAATGCACTCACGGAACAACTTAAGCTCAAGCCTCAACTTCAGACATTTCAAGTGTGGCTTTGCGAGGATGAGGAGGATAATGAAGTGGTTAAGCTGCCCCTACTTATTTAGTAACAGAGGCATAAACAAAGGCAGCTGCCCCTACTTATTTAGTAACAGAGGATGAGGAGGATAATGAAGTGGTTAAGCTGGATACGGTGCATATGAGTATGAGTCAGAATTTTAAGAATAAAGTAAAAGCATCGCTGTGACACCGACCGATATGGTGGATTCAGCAGAAGATGGTCGGTGGACTGCCAGAGAATCCAGAGAAGTGGCACCGGGTGATGCAGAACCTATTTGGTGATCAATCTGAAAAGCAAGAGGAAGAGGTCGATTCCGAGCACGAGTCCAATCCCCATCCCAATTCTGTATGATCCTCTAATTTCAAGTTTCCTTTCTATTCATATTCCAAAAGCATGTTTGGGAGTGATTAGGGTTTCAAATTTTGCTTTAATCTTAGCAGAAGGAAGATATAGGTTGTGGTTTTGTTAATGGCGGTGGATGATTTGGATGAAAGTATGTATCTTGGGGATTTTTTTGCTTGCAGTTGTTTAGGCCTGGACTGAAGAAGCTTTGTGGAATGAGATTCTTATGAGTAGTCAATTTTAGTGGGATTGTTGTTTCAATTTGGATAACGAATGATGCATTTTCCTATTCGGTCTGTCCTTTGATGTAGTAATTCTAGAATTTTGTGAATTGTTCATTATTGAGAATGAAGTGCTACAAATTGAAGACGAATAAAAAAAAAATGCACATCTTCTGATTAGAAATATAGAATTGGTTTTAAATTATTTTCTTGATTCTTTGGTTATGATGTGCTTTACCGATAAATCAAGGGTTTGCCAGATATTTTTTGTGCTTTTACTCCTTTAAATGGTGGGTGTTATCATTTCCTCTCTTTTTTCATATCTGTCTTGCCTTTGACTGGAGATGTGGGTGATCCTGCTACCCTGTCCGCCACAGTACAGGGCTGTAACAAGATTATCTATTGTGCTGCTGCACTCTCTACTATTAGCGGAGACCTCTACAGGGTTGATCAAAGAGGGGTCTACAATCTTACCAAAGCATTTCAGGTGTGATCCTTATTGCCATATACTTGAAATACTCCTTTTTGACATTTAGTAATCTGTTTCGGTTTTGATGTCTTTTAAGTTCAAGGGTTGGTTCAATGTTGGATTTGAATTTTATTGCTTATGTGAAGCTTTTGACTGTTTGCATTGTAGGACTATAAGAAGAAAATGGCGCAATTACGAGCAGGAAAGAGTAGCAAGAGCAAACTTATAATTGTAAAGTTCAAGACTCCGGAGTCAGTGGATGGATGGGAAGTTCGTCAGGGGACTTACTTTCAGGATGTGGTTGCTTCTAAGTATGATGGAGGAATGGATGCCAAGTTCGTATTCACTTTCACCGGAGATGCTGTTTTCTTCGGCAAGAGAAAGACTAAAGTGGGGTTTTGAGGTTCTAAATGGAAACCAACTATTATTCCTTTTACTCTATTTCTTGCTGCATTGTAGGATAAGTTTTCGCCAGACGAGGGTACTAACCAAAAAGCAGCTTCCCAAAAACAAATTCATGGTATTTTTCTTATTATATTAATTACAGATAGTATTTCTATGTTTTCCCTCTTGGTTTTAGAGATAATCAACTGTTATTAAGCTGTTTTCGTAGTGATTAGAACTTCCTTTAGAACTAATGAATCAAGTCATAGCGAGATAAGCTAATCGAAACAGCACAAATATGAATGAAAACAGGTTCTGCTCTCTTAACGTTTCAATTTTTTTTTGAAGTTTGGAGGCTTATGTCAATCTATAACAATTGTTCTAATCATCTAAGTATGCACTGTACATTCAATTGAGCCAATGACACGTGTGCCAACGAATTTCGAAGAGTTCGACTTGGTGTTCTCTCTTTGGTCTTTAACATGAACGTGTGAGGCACCTGTTTGTTGAGTAATTGAGTCCCTTCTCCAAGTTTTTAGTAGACATTAGGTTGCTGTAATTTGCCTTTATGAGCACATCTGTGACTAAAGAAAATTTAAGCTGTCAAGTTCCCAAAATGTCTAAGGAGATATCATGTTTAACGAGTCACGAATTGTGATCAATCCAAATGCTTGTATGAGCGCAACCATGCCATATTTTGTTTTTGCAGAGGTTGTAATAATTTTCCTTTGACTGATCTGTTAATAAGTTTGTTTTTGTAGATGCCAAAGAACTGCATGGAAGATTTCTATGTGAATGTCAAGGTCCGTACTTTTCCCTTTTTAGTTCTTGGCAATACAAGCATCTTCAGCTTTTTAAAAATAAACCTATAACATATTATAAGTATGAACTGGTGTGGGTAAATAATGAACTTATATGTGCGGGATAGAATATGGAAAAGAACACTACATATAAGTAAATTTTTTGAATAAAACTTAAGAAACCAATATATTTTGATTGCAGGTTAAGAAAACTTAAGAGACCAGTTCAATTGGGTAGATGAATAAAAGGAAAGAAAAGAAAAATATTAGAAAACATTCGGTATGTTTACTTAGGGAGACCATTTGATTGCTACGGAAATCGAGGAAAAGAAAACAAAGAAACTAACTAGGAGTTGTCTGAGTTGTTTATAGAGATCGGACATAGAAAAAACAACAAATATTTTTGTTTTTGTAATGGCTGTCATGAATTTCCTTATGACTAAACAAAACATAATTAGTTTATTTGCTTTACTGAGAATGTAGCGTTTTTTGTGATTAGTTTCGGGTTTTGGAGCAGATTTTTGTGTCCCGAGCCATATCCAAAGTTGATTTTGGACTTTCTTCGATCTTAGAATATTTGGTTACTTTAGTGCATTGACAATTAATAGACATAATTTTTTTTATCATTGTTTGTGTATAATTATGCAACTTGTATGTTATAACGTGATAAAGGTGATTTTGCTTCCAATACATCAACAAATATTAAAAAGAAATATTTAATGAGGGCTGGAACCCAGTCGAAGCTGGGGGGCTAGGCCCTCACGCCCATATTATATTATTTAAAGAAAAAACATACAACGAGGGAACATAGTACTTAAAACCCCGACGATCAAAAGTAAAATTATATACAACCACTTCAAGCAATCAACATGGCCCTTACATATTGAATCAAAAAGGTTGACATTGCATACAAGACTAGATAATTGAAAAGAAGGAAATTAAAGAGAAATTTAAAAAAAAAAAAAAAATTGAATGTAGTGGGTAATGAATGCATACCGAAATCATTGATCCACATGTTATCCCATCTGGAAAGAAAAATAAAATGCTGATGATGATGTATGAAGAATAAAAATAAGAAACAAGGTCGGCGTTTTAATATTTCATAGCTTATATTGAATTAGGCAAGTGTAAATTTAAAGAAGTTAGAAGATGCACCTTAAGATTAAACAGTTTCAATGGATTGGATGTGAGCAATCTTAAACCAGTCTTCACCTGTTTCTTTCTTGCATCTTTCGCTTAACATGGGGCACCGCCAAATTTTGAATCTATTTAAACAGGGGAGTCCACGAATCCCTTCTGGCAGTGATGCCAAATTAGAGCAATAAATAATTTGAAGATGCTGCAGTGACGTGAGATTGCTTATTTCTTCTGGCAGTGATGCCAAATCCTCAATTTCATTGAGTGTCAGATGTGTTAATTTGGAGAGAGGAGGGGAAGAAGAAGAGGCAGAAACGTCAACACCAACATCATGTGTAATATCAGATGCTCCTCTAACAAACAAGGAATCAACAACCTTCCAGCTGCTCCTGTGGAGTTCTATTTCAACCACATTTGGATACAGAGGCAGTGAAGTTAGATTAGGACAATCCCTGATGATCAATGTAGAAAGACGAGGAAAAGAAGGCAACGACAGATTTTCCGTTGATGAAGAAGAAGCAGCACTGTTATGAGTGTGGGCCCTCCACCATCCCTTCAGAACAGGGCAATTGTATAACTCGAGTGTCTCCAGGGAGGGAAAGAATGAGATCCTCATCATCTCATCACTCATACTATTACTGCTCTCATTCTCTGATATGTACTCCAACTTCTCCAAATTCCAAAGTTGAAGTTTCTTAAGGGAAGGCAAATGATCCAAGGGCGGAAGACATTGGCATCCGTTACATCCAATCAATTGGAGATTAACAATTTTTATGAGAGAAGAAAACCAACTCGCAAACCTCACATCACCATAAGACCACACTTTCAACTGCTTTAGATTAGAATGGGGTTGCAATACTTCCATTGACTTTATAATATCCTCCTCATCAACCGTGCTTATATCTTCTCCCGCTTTCCAGTCTAAATCCAACGAACAAAGATGCTGTTTGTCCTTGAGAGGTGTACCAACATTTGATTCTGACACCACATGCCTCAAATAATAAATAAGTAACTCTCCCCTTAATTCGTTAAGGGTCCCCAGCTCAGCAAGACCAGCACTACCGCCCCTCCCCAAACAATTGCTTTCACTCAAAACAAATCTATTCAATGTACGAACACCATTCAATTCACCAATTCCACGTGGCATTCCAGTCACTTTCCAACAGCCTTCCAAGATGAGATGCCTTAAGTTGATCATTTTTTTAATGTCTTTAGGCAATTCCACAAGATCTTCACAATTAGTCAGATCTAGTGTTTCCAAATTCGAAAGTCCAACTATCCAATCTGGAAGTCTCTCCATGGGATTCCCACTAAGATCAAGATATCTCAAATGTTTCATTTTTTTAAGACATTTAGGTACTTTTTTAATTCCCATTTCATTGAGACTCAACATACGCAATAACTTAAAATTTGAAACAATTGTAGTATAAAATGCATTACGTGAGGAACTTTGGTCATCACTCCAACTTTGTTGAAGAAAAAGAAAGGTTCGTATCTTGCTTGCTTTTAGCAAGGATGTTGGCACTTCCCATTTCGACAAATCAATATCAAAATTGAAAGATACATGACGAAGCTTTTCATGAAAATTCTTTTGGTTTGGCTCAACTACAGTGCTTCTAACCCCCGACACAGAGATTGCAAGTTCATTCATGAGATCATGCATTTTACAACTTTCTATTACACCAAACTCATTTGTTTTTTCTTCTTGAAAAAACGATCTGCACAACAATTCCCTGTAATATTCAAACGCAACATCCTCCAAACAGTCGTTTTCGTCGAATGACTTGATGAACCCTTGTGCCACCCAAAGTCTAATCAATCTTGGTACAGAGATATTATAATCAGGTGGGAACAAGCTACAATAAGCAAAACAATGCTTCAAATGTGTTGGGAGCACATCATAACTTAGTTTGAGTGTTGGTAAAATATCATCTTCTTTTTGACTTATTTTTGAAAGTTTCCTTTCTTTGAAATTAAACCATTCTATTTCATGATGTTTTTTGCGCAACATCCCACCTATCGTCCTTATAGCGAGTGGAACTCCCTGACATTTTCTTACAACCTCCATCCCAACTGCCTTAATTGTTGAATTCTCTGGTTCTTTTCCATCTTGGAAAGTCATTTTCTTAAATAAAGACCAACTTTGCACTTCATTCAAACCCTTTAAGTTGTACAGTTTAGTTGTGTGTGATGCCATCGCAACGGTTTCTGTACGAGTGGTTATTAATATTCTACTACCTTCTCCACCACCTTTTAACAAGTCCATCACGCTAAGCCACTTCTGTGGTTCCTCATTCCACATATCATCCAACACAAGCAGGTATTTCTTCCCATTTACTTTTTTTCTGAGATCAATTTGCAGCTGATCCATATCAAGCTGGTCCACCTTATCACGCTGCTTCTTATCAAGCTCGTTAGCTTTTAGGATTTTCTTGGCCAATATATCCAACTCAAATATATTAGAGACACATATCCATATTTTCAACTCAAAATGCTTTTGAATCACCTCATCATTGAATATGAGTTGGGCAAGGGCACTTTTCCCCATTCCTCCAATTCCAACTATGGAAATGGTTGACACATTATCAGTTGAGATGGGATCCAACAAAAGTTGGATAATTGCCATTTTATCTTCATCTCTCCCTATAATATTATCCTTAGGGACAAATGAGTGAGTGATCCTCTCTCTCAATATAAATCTTGTATCTTCACGATTATTGTTTAAGCCACTGGGTCTACGAGACGCAACCTCACTAAGTCTCTTGTTAATATCTTTTATCTTATGACTCATCTCTAATCCAAAAACAAGTTGATTTGAACTAGAAAAGAAAAGACGCACCTGTAAGAGTTTGAGTAGACACAATCATTATTTCAATAGAATTGTATTAATAAGTTATAGAGTTTGGTAACGGTAAGTTATATGAAACATTCAAAACAATAATGGAAAAGACTTCTTGTAACTAATTATGAGTTATTGAGAGACCTATTGTACTCCTAATAGGTGACTATAAAAATGTTCTCCAAGATGGAACCTCTCGAATCCTCTCGTTAATATCTTTGATCTAATGACTCATCTTTTGCCAGAGAGCAAGTTGATTTAATTAAAGAAAAAGAGGCATACCTTATTTGACAGCTTAGTATTGCCACGCAACACTTGTCTCCGCGGAACTTGAGTATTAAACTCATCCAGCACGTCATCGGCTTCATAAACTGCATCTTCTACGCTTTGGAGCCACAGTTTGACTTCATTGTTGTCGGCTTGCTTTTGCTCAGCGTCAAGAAGAACAGCTTGGAATCCGGCAACTGTCTCCCTGAGCTTGTTGAGCTCATCTGGGACACCCCAAATCGATCCAATCTGTTGGAAAGCACGGTTGCCAAGCCTTACAATGATCCGTTCTGCAATATTGAAGAGAACTCCTTCTGCCATTTCTTGTATTCAGGACAAGCAAAAACCCAGGTGAAGTGAATTAAAGTAGAAGATTGTAACTAAGAATATAGTCTTGATATGCCCATCTCTCATCCAGCCACTCACACATCATTCAATGGATAAAATAAAAACAAAGACCTAATAATGGTCAATACGGTTATGCGTAGTGAGAACATGGTCCATATGTTACAGCTGGCCTTAATAATTGAAAGTTGATTTTTAATGCCAGCTGGGTCCTTCACAAATTATAGCCGTTTGTTGCTTTCCTTATGTTTTCCTCTACTTTTTTCCCTAGTGGCTAGTAAAGCATTAGCCAGTGCCATACTAAAGCTTTGTGTTGTGTTTTTAATTTGATTTCCAACACATGTTCCCTCACCCACCACTCCCTGGGCCCACGTGCTATTGTAACCCGCCATCATTTGTAAACCCACAGCTGGACGTGTCTACACACAGCACTTCCAAATAGAAGTAACCAGTCCAATTTTATTTGTATCTTCAGTACGAATTTATACACCTAACGTTGCACTTTTCTGAAGCCTTCTTTCAGCTGAGAAAATTAGATCTCCTTCAATCTTTAGTTTCAAAAAATGAGGGTTGAGAAAAGAAATAATAATAATAATAACAATAATAATGCAACTATTTTATCGAGTGTCTTCATCTCATAAGGTGTATGAGATGAAGACGAAGATTATTTTGATGTAAGTTTGAATACTGCTATTGTTTTGATGTAAGCTTGAATAATGCTAAAACTATGCAATTGTTAGAAGATTACCAGTGAAACAACATTATACATTAAGGCTTCATTTGATAAGTCGTATAGCGAACCGGACAAGATAAATAGTTCGGACCCTAAATGTTTAGTTTAATTTTACACTAAATAGTACCCGAATTAATTAAACTGGGTCCATATCTTTATACAGTATACACCTACTAAATTATCCAACTCAAAACCTCTGTATTATTAGTTGGTAGGAAAACCACGATGTGTTCTCCTGCTCTCTCTTGTAGCGTCCCTCTCTCTCGCATCGTGCACAAGAGTCAATCTCGTTGCGGATGTTCAACTATCGTCTTCATCAAGATTTCTTCTTCTTCTTCTTCTTCTTCTTTCTGTTCCGCTCAAAAAATTTGATGAAGTTACAGTTCCTTCCAAAATTAAGGTTTTGAATCGCAAAATTAAAATTGTGTGAAATTAATTAGGGTTGGACAAAATTTAAATTCTGTGAAATTAATTTGGGTTGGAAGATCAAGTTTCTTGGCTCATTTTTGCGGTTGCGACAACCTACCACGATGTAAATTCAATTAATCGATTTCCTTGAGAGGATCTGAAACCCGACAACCTACAAGTCGTCCTTTCGTTGGAATCTGGAGCGGATCTCACCGTCTGTGCGTGATTCCCGCACCTTC